AGGGCCAGTGCCCCAAGGCACAATCTGGTCCTGCTAATGCAGCATTCCGGCAATGCTGGCTGGTTTTTAGAAGCTTGGTACCTTGATTCCTGTTCCTATTCTACATTTAATCCTTTTAAGAAAATAATTATTATTCCACTCTTTTTAACAGAGATTTAGTGCTGGGAGAAGAGTATTTCTGACATCTTATTGCAAAGGGCACCTGGTTACATGTATGAACCCTGCACTGCTGGGTCAAAAAGCAACAAAATAATCAGGGTTTTTTTTTATTATTATTATTATTAAAGAACCACCACCACCTCTCCTTCCCCCCACTCCCTGCTTTAGTTGTGGGGAAAAGGCTCGCTGATGTTACCTGCTCCAGTGCCGCATTGAGGCTCTTTGACTCTGCTCTGAGACTTGCTGCCACTTCCGATTCAACACTGTATCAAGACACTCCAACTGTGATCTGAGACCTAGAGCGGAGTGGGAGCATCTTGACACAGTGTCAAAACAGTAGAGTCAGAGATCATGGATACAGCAGTGAAAAGGATTTTGTCTCTCAAATGAAAAAGATCAGGATCATTTTCTTTTTATATTTAAGTAATAGCAGCTTCTCTTAATGCAATGTATTTGAATTTAAAAAGGGGGCTGACACACTTTCCTCCCTCTTGCCCCGTTGAATTATAGAACACTGTGCCAAGTAAGTTCACTGTACAGTCCATGTCACTATATGAAAGTTATTTTGCTTCAGGAAACTGGCAATTGTTATGAAATTAAAAGGACTTTAAGTCTTTCACGACACCACACACATAAAGGTGTGTGTGTGTGTGATTTCTTTTGGGGGGGGGCTATGTTTGTGAAGTGGTACTTGTTTGGGTCTGAATCATAATTTAGGAACATAAAAGTCGCCTGCCACTATACTCTATCATTTTGGGGGCACATACAGTACTACTAGGTATCAACAAAAGTGATTGGTTTAATTGTCAGCTGGTGACATGGCTTCATTTCTGAGACTGGTTTCTTTTCTAGAGATGGGATGGTGCTTGCAGTGCTATGCAGAATGATAATGTAAAGTGGGATTTCTCAAACATTGCACAGCATCCTATCCCTAATATGGCAAAATAGTCAGCCCTTCCCTGATGTAAAGGCTTTTGCAAAAGGAACAGAGAAAACCTTCCCCTGAAAAAAAAAGATGGTGCAGGTGTTTATAAATCTAGTTTATAAATCGGGAGAGGGGTGCTTATTCATTTTTTCTTCCTGTTGGGTCATATTTACCTAGGAATTAACACAACCTTCTACTGAATATTAAATATTTAATATTCAATACATGGTGATGTTTTTGCTGAAAGTTAAATTAAAACAATCCATTGAAAATAAAAATTTCTTTTTGTTTCATTTTCTCTTGGGCCTTCCCAAAAGAGGTTGACACCGACCCAGTTTGAGAAACACTTACCTAAACCAATCATTGCCCAGCACGTATTCTCTGGGGCAACTTGTGTGGGCAAGATGCCATCCAAACAGATGGGCATTACTCTAGGCAACCAAGAGACCATGCATGTGAATCAAGTATGGGTGTTTACAGCATCATTTCCCCAGTGAGAACGTCAACATGACAGTCCAGACTCCTGGCTCAGTTAAAGATGTGTTTCACTAATTCAGCTCTAAGACGGACAACTCTAAAAAATAAATAATTCAAGTCAGCTTGTGTGGGGCCGAGTCTATTTTACTTTGTTGAACTGGCCAGAATTTGGGTGGAGGGGGAAGGACTCATTAAAAATAACGTCTCTGACTCTTGTCTGCCCAAGGGAAGCTTTTACAGAATGAGACCAAAGAAGCTTGGAAAGCCCTGCTTAGTGTAATGTGAGCAGGGTGTGGAAAATCATAGAATTGTTTAGGTCTGAAAGCTAGTCCTCAATTCAGAAAAGCATCTCTATTCAGGAGAGCACTTAAGTACATGCTTAATTACAGACAATGGGACTTAAGCACATGTTTAAAGTGAAGCACATACTTAAGGCCGAGATTTAGCAAGGTCATGTTTAAAGGTAGGCACTTGCTTAAACACCTTGTTGAATTGGGGCCTAATTGCTATTCTGAATAGAGATGTACTATGTTCTTTAGTGCTTTCCTGAATCAGGGCCTAAGATATTTAATTTATCCCCTATATCCATCTAATAGCAGGACTTCTACTGAATTATCACTAAAAATTCTTTAACATCTGTTACAAACAAGTACAGGAGCTAGGACTAGAATTAGAATCTCTTTAGTTGCAAATCAATGACTTTATCTCATCTACTCTAACATAATAGACTTTGATAGATTGATTCTGGAATGCTTAGTCTGCTTTAGGATATACCTCTGAAATGTCTGATTTCTGTCATTATGTGAGTTCACTTTGAATATTGGTTTATTAGTTTTTTTTTTTTTTACATTGAATCATATGTATTTATGTAATTTTAATAATAAATGTAGTCAAGCAACCTTTAGCTTTTAGGCAAAGTTACTTTTAAAGCTCTGCAAATCTGCAGATATCCATTTTGTATCCACAGATGGAGATATCCGCAAACCACATTTGCAGATCACGGATGGATGCAGATCCAAATTTTATATCTAGAGCCCTGAAAAGCTGCAGTTATAGAGAGAGTTTCTTTTCCAGCCCCATTCCATAGTTTGAGAATTCATAGTCCATTTCTGTCATTTGCTTGGAACAAAGACAGATTATCTGAAAATGGTTTCTCTCTCTCTCTCCTTCTGTATGCAAAATATTTAATTTTTTTTCATTTCAGACTATCAAAAGCAATCTTTTTATTTGTCTCCTATAATCTGTTATGATGGCTCCGAGTCTGTCATTAGACTTGCTAAAATGTTCTGTTACCATGCATTTCATTTTCTATGGAGAGTAATGTTTATTTTCTTGCTTGATGTCATGGTAACAGAAATACTTAGATATAATATAAGGTAAGTTTATGTTTTAAATACAGACAATGCAGGTTATAGATGGGTGTATATCCCATTTGAAACAGAGAGCATTAGCTAGGAGAAAATCCCTTCTGAGTGCCAGTGCACATTCCTAGCTGGTGCTCTGAGGCCACAGATGCATCTAACACTGAATGAGTTAAAAATACAGTAGCTGTGTTTAGGGATACCAGCTTACATTTTCAGGGGCCTGATTATTCTGTTAGTTGCATGTGTGCAATTCCCAATGAAGGCAACAGAAGTAGTGCATACGAACTTGCCAAGATAATTGGGCCCCTGAATTGCACACAATTTAAACCCTAAAATGGCCATTGATTCCCGTGGGCATCAAATCACTAAATCTCACACAACTCCTTGACTTTAGGATTGAATGCTATTTTTTCAGAGGACTAGGTGAGATCTCAATGAATCTGAAAATATTTGATCACCTGTATGGTATTACTATCCACTAGTATGAGGAAAAAAAGAATGTAATGTATGTGAGCTTAATTTAGAAGCACAGAAACAGAGATGTGGTTAAAATGTTTTAAATCTACGCTAAGGAGTACTGCAATCTGTGACATACTATGCAGAGAAAAGGAGGATGAAACCCTACGGTGCAAGGGCAAAGTAATAAAAGGAATAGCTAATGTATAAAGGTATAGTAAGAGAGCAAGGAACGACTTGGTTTAAAAGGTCACTCTCCGTTGATTTTCCTTATGGAAATATCCTACAGAATACAATACATTATAAAATGTAATCCCTTGATACTAGATAATACTACACTTGATTTTAGTTAAAAGGTCAAGTTCAAACCAATTTGTCTGTCTTATCATTTAGTTGCTGCTGATCTGAGAAGATGACTACTGAGGTCCAGGTGAGTTACCATTACTTCTAATGTGGACCTATCTTTGGCAAATTGCTTCAAAACTTATGAAGTAAATATCCCATCCCATGTCAGACTGATGGCAGGCAAGGCATGGCACAGGTGGACCAGGTAAAGTGTTGGTTGCAGAAGGAAGAATGGCAGTGAGCTGGCCCAGTGGAGACTAGAACTATGGACTCTGATAAGAGCTGAAAGCAGGTCCTTGCAATGAAGCAGAACTACTGTGAACCTGCAATAAAAGGAAACTGCTATGAGTCTACACTGCAGCGTGCATGATGCCTAAGTAGAGGAGAATCTTTAGGTTTGTTACGTTAAACGTCTTGAAGCCTGCAGCGATTCTGAAAGACCAGTATGGCTAGGGTGACCAGACAACAAGTGTGAAAAATTGGGATGGGGGTGGGGAGTAATGGGAGTCTATATAAGAAAAAGATCCAAAAATTGAGACTGTCCCTATAAAAACAGGACATCTGGTCAGCCTAAGTATGAGAAATGGTGAAGGCCATGTTCTGGAGATTGTTGAAGTGCTAAAATTCATTAGTTCATGTCTGTACAGTAGTTAGGAGTTGAAAACGCCATATCCATGATAAGTATTAGCAATGATCACTGGTTTTGGTCTTTTATACAAGTCCCCAGTAATCATAGCAAAGAATTATGTCAGTGAGAGAATCCTATGAGTTTCCAGCCTTTGGCATGGAGAAATGCAACTGTTTGATCTCATGAATTAAATCAGTACCTGGAGGATGGGGATGACACAAGAAGGAGCCTTGTGGATCCTAACAACAAGAAGAGAGAGTTGTTTCAACAGTTTATAATCACTCCCAAACCTGAACCGATGTACAGGTGATCAACAAAAGGTACTTCCCCACCACCAGGCACACACACACACCTCCAAGCCATGTCACTGCCATATTTCAGAGGCCTGCTGCAAAAGGGGGGAGGGTAACAGAGCTGTACAGAATATGGTCCCAAGAATCTTATACTGGAACATGCTGGGTAACCCAAATACAGGGGTCCCTGCAGGCCCCCCTTTAATATCTCCGCCCCTAGCCAGGCCATTGCCCACAACCTGGTCCCAACACAGCGGAGCAGGAGCTCTAGTCAGAGGGTTTCATAACCAAACCCTGCGCTCCAGTACTGCCCCGGGAGACCCGGGTTCGTAGCCGCAGCAGCAGGTTCTTACCCGCGGGGGGAGGGGAGGTTCAGGTAACCGGGAGCAGCAGGCCCGGGCCGGGGGAGCCCTGCAACGAGCGCCGGGGCCGGGAGGTGTCAGGCGAGCCGCAGGGGGAGCCGGGACGGGCTCAGAGAGCCGCAGGACCAGGGGAGCGGCAGCCGGGTTCGCAGCAGCGGGAGGACGGCTCGGCTCGGCTGGGAAAGGGGAGCAGCCGGTGTCGGCGGACGGCAGGTAGGGGCGCGGCTGCGGGCGGGTGAACATCCCCACCTAGGGAAGGGGGACACGGGCACGCGCATGAGCCGATAGCCGTGGGTGCCCCCACGCAAGACAGGTCGCAGCCTGTCCCCTCCCCAGACAGCTGTCACCCCGGGGAGTGCGGGAGCCTTCAGGGCGCGGGCCAGGGCGGGGATGGACGCGCCTGGAGCGGGAGCTGCCACCACCCCGAGTCTCCCTGGGGCTCCTGCCCATGTGCCCGGCTGCAGCTCCCCCACATGTCTGTGCCCGATCCGCGGGGGCTCCCCTAGGGCCGCCCTCCCCGCGGGCACCGCCGCTGCCCCAGGCTGGGGACACGGAGCGGGGGCTGCAGCACGTTGGCTCGGGGCTCTCCTGTGTGCGAGGGGAGGGTCTCCGGGGGACTGCGGACGCCCCCCCGCCCGGTTTGCGCGCGTGGCCGCTCCGGGGAGGGCGGCAACCCCCTGCGCCGCGCTGGGCGCTCCCCGCCCGGCTGCCGCGTTCTCAGGTGCGCTCGCCTCTCGCTTTGCTCCGCAGCGCCGCCGCCGCCTCCTTCCCGGAGCAGGGAGCATGGCGGCGGCTCTGCTCAGCGAGCTGGAGATCAAGCACCGCTCCATGGCCGAGGAGGATCCCAACGGCAACCAGCACGGGGCGGCGGCCCGCAGCAGCACCGTGCCTCGCTGGGGCCCGCAGCACGCCGGGGCCCGCCAGCTGGCCCAGCTCTACTCGCCCGGTAAGGCTGCGCGCCCCCGACCCGCCCGCAGCCGCAGGGACCTAGCGCGGAGGGAGGGGCGAATGCCATCATGTCCCCGGCTTTCCGCTGCGCTTTCATCCTCCTCGCCCGCCCCCCGCCCGCTGCTGCTGCTGCTGCTGCTGCTGCTGCTTCATACCGTTCACAGACTAACACGATGCAAGTGGCCCAGAGCCGCGCAGATACGGGGCGTGAAGGGAGGGCGAATGTGGCGGTCCGGGACCAGATTTCCACAGCAGCGGAAAGTGGATGGGCCTTATCCCCTGGCTCCATAGCCCCAGGTGCTGCACACTTCTCTCGGTGTTTAATATAGACTGCACTGATCTAGCCATTCCCTGAGCCCACACTGGTGCTCTTCCTCACCCTGGCACCTTTTAGCTTCATAATCTAATATCCTTGCTTTCGATCCAAGCCCATCTAGGTGACTGTGGCTGTTTTTTAGTTCAGTGGACTGAGTGAAACACTCAAGATGACAGCTAGATGGACAGGGCTGCATTGTTGCATGTCCTCTGTAAAAATGTAAGAGAACAACATATGAAGAAGTGACAATGTTAAGGTGAAAACTTTAAATATCGTGTTAGGGATGGATGTTCAGGCCTGGGATAGAGGGATACCAAATCTAATTAATGTAAAAATAAAGAATTCAAAGTAGTTTTGGGTATTATACTGCCTCCGAGTCCCCCATTAACTTTTGTGGTTTTACAATCATGTTTTCCAATCTTTGAAGACATTTTTCTGTGCTATCTGAAAGGGCCAGGCAACTAGAGAGGAAACTGACTAGCTGCGTAAAGTGCTGTCAAATGCACAAAGTGAACTATCTTGGAAAATAGATTTTACATATTTTTCACCCTGTAATCTCTTTCTGTGCCAGTAACCTTTAGCGTCTAGCCACAAACTGCGGCTTTTGAAAGTAACCAGTGATTTTGGGTGCCCAAACTGATTGTCTGAAGGGAGCTGAGCTCCTGCTATCTGATTATCTCACTCCTTTAAGGCATCTCAGGTGTCAGGTTGGGCACCCAATATCGCTAATCACTCTTGAAAATTTTGACTGGATGGGCAGTGGAGTGACTGCGTCTACACTGAGAATTTTAGGCATTTTTTCCATTCTTGGTCTAGCACTGGTGCATTTACTTTGGTTCTTCTAGGAATGATTTAAGTGCTAGTACTGCTAACGTGTCTTCTATAGGATGTTCATTCAGATTAGTGGAGCTGAATGGTAGCTTGTTATCGCATATATGGTAGCTCTTCAAATGGTGTTTTGGCTAACATTTCCTTTTTTCTTACCAAAAGTCACCAGGCCTTCTTTTTGCCACCTTAAGTGTGAGACAAGTGGGTAGTGACTGGAGGTGGCTACCATCTTCAGGTTGTTCAGTGGCCTACATGAAATGAGTTAGGGTATGTCTAACGCGGCAGCACTGTGACATGGGCAGTGTAGACACGCTTTATTGCTGGGAGAGAGCTCTCCTGGCAATAAAAAAACCCCACCCCTAACGAGCGGTGGTAGCTTTATCACCAGGAGCGTGGCTCCCAGCGATAAAGCGCTGTCTATACTGGTGCGTTTCAGCGCTAAAACTTTTGTCGCTCGGGGGAGGGTGTTTTTTCACACCCCTGAATGACAAAAGTTTTAGCGCTGAAAGTGGCAGTGTAGACACAGCCTTAGTGATCTCAGTCTATTTGAATGAGAGTGGACAGGACAAAACCTAGCACTAATTGGTCTCCTTGTTAGCAGTCTTGACAGAGAGAATGGGGTTGAATGGCGCTTGAACTGTGGTCTCAATCAAAGAGGTTGTCCACCCTGGGAGTCATGGGTGAGGCCTATTGATGTGGTGGTATACCCTGGCCTTGATCAAACAACGAGCTTGACACACCACACACACACACACACACACACACACACACACACACCCACCCTTTGGCCTCAGGAGGACTCTATTAGCAGATTACTGTTTGTTCTCACAGATTA